CTCTTCTGATTGGGATTACCTGGAGAAAACGCACGCGTTTCTCCAACCATTCACGTCTACGACCTTGTGGGCTCAAGGCGTGACGGCGACGCTCTCGCAAAACCTCATGATCATGGATATATTACTTCGCCACTACGAACAGAAGAAGGTATCATCTCAGCTTTCGCCTAACTCAACCAACTAGTTTCTGATCCTCTCTTTAGGAGCTCTATGAAGCTGAGGAGACACATGATCCTCTCATGTTGCACTCTATTGATATGGGCTGGTTCGTACTCGATAAGTACTATGCTTTATCCGGGGAGTCCCCTATCTACGTAACTGCCCTTCTCCTTGATCCGTCGAAGCGAGCGCGATACCTTGAAATAAACTGGAAGGGTGAATGGGCTGAGGCTGCCATTAGGCACGCACTTTCGATATGGGAGGAAGAATACAAGATGGCGCCCACCCTCGGACCTGCCCAGGCGCTGAGCGAAACGGTTAGGTCGCAGCAAGGGCATTAAAACTAACTTGATCGGCTTCTGAACGAGATTATGGTCGCTGAGGACATAACCAGAGACGTAGATGACTTTGAAAACTTTATCCACAACCAGCCGATAAAGATCGAAGGCTGTCCTCTGGTCTGGTGGTGTCAGAGGGATCAGGTTCGGACATATCCGCGTCTCAGCCGCATGGCCATTGACATATTATCTGTGCCGCCTGGCTGTGCTGACCCCGAGTCTGCAGTTAGTGGAGGAAGACGCACATTATCATGGGATCGGGAAAGGATATCAGGTGTTAATCTGGAGAAGGTTGAATGCATCGGTAACTGGCTGCGTGAACTACTCATTATACCATCATCATGTGGTGGTAGAGGGCTTGTTGTGGACGGTGAAATAAACGGCAGGATTCATCTTGATTCGGATGATGATCTAGATTAGAATTGAATGAAATATTTACCTTTAAGCTTAGACATATCTGTCGTCATATCATCTCTGCTAAAGCTGCTAAAACTCCTAGACTAATATCATCTCTGCTATCCTGCTAAGCCGATATCATATCAGGATAGGCGAGTCTGCACTGCACTGAACCACATAAAAATCAATATCTCTGGCCGGTGAACTTACGAAGCGGTGAAGACCTCCGAGAACATGGGTGTTATCCAAGCTAACCACTCCGACAGTCCCTCCTAAGGACCATGTTGCTGTAGCCTACCCAGTGCATTCGGCGTTGCCAAACTACTGCTCCCTCCGCCAAACACTCCCGTGAACGGATCAATTCCGCCCATGTTGAAACCGGGATCATGACCCATATCTGGAGGCTCCATGTTGAATGGCATGCACCACGCGGATGATGCTTCCGGTCCGTTTAATCCTGGCCCATCAGCCATATCTGCACTTTGCCCATGCATGCCTACCTTGACATTCGACCGCCGACCTTGCAAGCCTCCATCTGGCTGAGCGCCTGAAGCGACGGTATCCCAATCAAGGCCGCTCATCATATCCTGGCCACCACCCAGGCCGGCACTAGCATCCATTGAGTATCCGCCATAGACAAGCTGACGATCAAGCGGGTCGATGTTTCCATTCGAACCCTGCCCAAAGTTCATTACGAGCAGTTCGGGTGGGAAAAAAGTGGGCGTGTGAGCGTGGTAAGCAAATGCAGTCATGTTGGCCCAGTGATCGGAATGGTCTGGTATGAGTTGGTATTGGTATGGTAAATACCGCCAAGACTTGGTATGGTTTGAGGAAATCTAAATACCATGGTATTA